AATCCTTCGGTGAGGTCGTCGATCTGCCGACCAAAACCCTCGTTTTGTCGCATGAGGGACGCAATTGCTGCGTCCCGTCGATCATCGGCAGGGTCGGTCCTCTTCGGAGGCATCGTGGATCGTAGCTGATTCTGATTATCAACTGATGTAGCGCAGCGTCGAACAAAAGGGAACAAAGAGATGAAATCTGCCAAACAGTAATTTTATTTCACGATAAACTGATTTTCATAAGAGAGAAGAAGGGAATAAATAGTCTCCAAATCCTATGTTTCCTAAACATCCTAAATAAGGGAATAATACTTATATAAATATTAAATAAAACATGGAATAATAATAAGAGCTAGGAAATAAATAACTAGACTAAAGAAGGCATCCCGTCGTATTTCTGCATAAACGCCAATGCGATCTCGTCTCCATCATGATCATTATTTATTAGAATTGCCCCTTTCAATAAAGAGCCTATGCTTTGACAATTATGTTTGCAAATTGAGTGGTTGCAAATTGAGTGGTCTTCAAATAATCTATATATACATAATGGCCTGAATCAAAGGTATGATGAAACCATGAAAAGCTCAGTACTATTGCTACTTCTCATCTTAGTCTTAGGCTGTGTTTTATTACTGAGACAGGCTCGCTATAATGATGATGCGTACTACTACGATGTTCGTGTGATCAATGGCTTCTCAAACAACTCATCGGCACCGTTGGTTGTTTGGTGCGTGTCCCGTGAGACGGGTGACATTGGTGGAAGGGCCCTCCAAGAACGAGACGATTACAGCTGGGATGTCGAGCCTTCCGCCTTCTGGACTCGTGATCATGAGTTTGTGTGCACCGTCAAATGGGACCGAACCAGGAAAAGTTTCAAGGCCTTTGACGGGAGTCGAGATAGGTATAAGTGCGGCCCACGCAGACTTTGCCTTTGGATGGTTAAAGAGGATGGCTTTTACTTCAGTAATGATGGGATTCGTTGGATCAAAGATTTTCCATGGATGTAATGTAATACATATGTTTTTATCTCATGACCCCACCCACCTTTTTTTTTTTTTTTTGGTGTGATCTATATGAACTTAATACCCTCTCCTCTACTAATAAGTGTCATTATAGATTATCAATAATTAACAATTCATGTACCAAAAAAAATAAAAAATAATTAACAATTCACGTGTTAGTTATCTAATATTACCTTTTGTCAAATACCCTTAAATCATGTCATATATTTTAGTTTGTTGTATTTTCACATGTTAAGATGTAGGGTAAATAATTTTTTCCAGCATGTAATATGTAATATACTTATTTTTTGGATTTTCAACCTTAAATAATTTTTTTTAAAAAAAAATGCAACATTAACTACATATATACACTTATTTGCACGTTCGGCTACTTTTTGACTGTCCGATCATCCGAAAAAAGGACACGTGTATAGTCGAGATGTGGGCGAACGTGCAAATAATTACGGTATATATAGTACAGGTTACAATTTACAACAAAAAATACTTTAAGTTGAAAATCCCAAAAACACGTACCATATAAATTGGAAAAAATTATTTACCCTAAGATTTATTCTACTACAGAATTGTTAAATTAGTTTAAATAAATAATTAAAAATAAAATATTCTACTTACATATTTGTATAAGGAAGTAGTTATGAATTGTAATATCCAAATCTCTACATTTTGTGTCGTTTTTTTTTTTTTCTTTTTCTTTTTTGATAATCATTTTGTGTCCTTGAATGAGGAGATTGTCAATTCGTTTGCCGGATTTTGGGCCGCTGTGTACATTCAAACTACTGACTACATTTGACAAACTAATAAAGTTGTCTCATATAGTATAATAATATGGAATTTTGGAATATAGTGAAGACCGTTATTGTGTGGAATGTAGCAAGGGTCTATATATTATACAGTGAGGGGCATAATTTTAAAATTGGTCCTATAATTTGGCCACTTTCTAAAAAATCACCCCGTCATTGGCCACTTTTAAACTTGGTCCTATAATTTGACTTTTTAATCAAATTTGGTCATTTTTATCCAGAATATGGATTAAAATGAGATTACAAAAGGACCAAAATGTCAAATTATAGGACCAAATTTGAATAGAAAATGACCAAATTTGATTAAATGGATAATTTATAGGACCAAGAATGAATGTGGCCAATGGCGGGGTGGTTTCTTGGAAAGTGGCCAAATTATAGGACCAATTTTGAAATTATGCCTACAGTGAGGACAAATAGTTGGATTTTGGTGGTAGACTTTGATTAATTAAAAATTGCAGTATAATTAATTAAGTTTTCAAGGAAAAAAAGTTGGGCTTTTCTACAGTCAGGTACCCTTGTACTTTGGCTTGTACTTACCTAACAGGTACCTTTTAAATGAACGTCATGTGTCCTTTTTGTAATAAATAAAAAAATAAATCGAAAAAAAGCTTAATGCAAATACGAAAATGCCCTTACTTGAAAAAAAAAACAATTTTACTTAAAAGGTGTTAAACTTTTGTAATATTAACATATGACCTAAACATAATTATATATCTCAAATAAACAAACAATTAATCCAATATTTCATTTCGAACGATCTTCTGCAAACAAGAAAACACTCACGAATATATGATCGGAAAAAAGACGTTCTAAGATTTGACATTTGAAGAATAACGCGAAGGTACATAATTTTGTTTTCTGATTCGATATTTGAAGAACAACAGTATGTGAAATTTGTTTTCAATTTCTTCTTCTTTATTTCGATTACTGTCCAATCATGCGGTAATGCACATCCATGATTTTGCTGTGCATCCGTGAGTTATAAGGCATAGATACGAATAATGTTGTAATGTGAATTTGTATTTGCTAATATGGATAATTCATTATTATTATGCTTCTCATAAAGAAGCACAATAGATGTTTAACGAAATGTCTGAAGGGACTAGGAAGATGCAAAACAGATGAGCACCAGAAAACAACTTGCCAAAAATTACAACCGAACAAATTGTTGTTATTGTTGTTGTAGTCATAAATAATGTTTATGACATCAGATTGACATTTTATAATACCATCATTAGCTTTAGTCATAAACAAGCACAATTGCTCAAAATTAATAATGTTGCAGTTTGAACGTTCTTGCCTGGTAATTGCATGTTTGAATTTGTCTAATTTCATCATGGAATTGTTGTGGTAAATGGTTATTTACAAAATTAATAATGTTGCAGTTTGTACAGTTCATTCCCACAACGTTCTGGAATATGCACATCAAAGATGAAAGGTTTTTAAAAAAGAAAAATTATTTTTTGACTGACCAGTGTTTTTACCGTTTGGATGTAATTGAAAGGAATGGTAAAAAGTTAATCTAACATGAGGATGCTCGTCAATTTAGCGAACGTAATGGATTGATGGAAGGTTGTTCGTTTTCATTTGTGCTGCTAGGAGGATATCAGCTGGTGTTTAGGATTATTATGTAGTTGTTGTGTCCGGTATAAACTATTCTATTTTGTCTTTCTAAATTAATGAATTATGCTGTAACTTTATTTGGTGTGTGATCTGGATAGGGATAATATGTTTATTATATCCCATGGAAACTTTTGAATTATGTTGCATAATCCATTGAACATGTTAAATTTTTAGATTAACATATCACATAATAAGATGAATTTTTTCTATAATAAGCTGAACATGTTGCATATACCAAGATGAACATGTTGCATTATGTGATGAATACGTTGCATAATACATTGAACATGTTAAAATTTAAGATGAACATATTACATAATGAGATTAATCTGTTATATAATAAGATCAATATGTTGCAAAATATATTCAACATGTTAAAAATTAGGATGAACTTGTTACATTACATAATAAGATGAATATGTTCTATAATAAGGTGAATATGTTATATAATAAGATGAATGTGTTGCATATACTAAGATGAACATGTTACATAATAAGATGAATATGTTGTATAATAAGATGAATACGTCACATACATAATAAGATGAACATTTTACGTATACTAAGTTGAACATGTTGCATTATGAGATGAATATGTTTCGTAATTCGTTGAACATGTTAAAAATTAAGATAAACAAGTTACACGATAAGATGAATATGTTGTACAATGAGATGAATATGATGCATAATATACTCATTGAACATGTTAAAAATTAAGATGAGCTTGTTACATTACATAATAAGATGGATATGTTCTATAATAAGGTGAATATGTTATATAATAATAAGATGAATGTGTTGCATATACTAAGATGAACATGTTACATAATAAGATGAATATGTTGTATAATAAGATGAATACGTTACATACATAATAAGATGAACATTTTATGTATACTAAGCTGAACATGTTGCATTATGAGATGAATATGTTTCGTAATTCATTGAACATGTTAAAAATTAAGATGAACTTGTTACATTACATACATAATAAGATAAATATGTTCTATAATAAGGTGAATATGTTATATAATAAGATGAATATGTTGCATATACGATGAACATGTTGCATATACTAAGATGAACATGTTGCATATACTAAGATGAACATGTTACATAATAAGATGAATATGTTCTATAATAAGATGAATACGTTACATACATAATAAGATGAACATTTTACGTATACTAAGGTGAACATGTTGCATTATGAGATGAGTATGTTTCGTAATTCGTTGAACATGTTAAAAATTAAGATGAACTTGTTACATTACATAATAAGGTGAATATGTTCTATAATAAGGTGAATATGTTACATTGCATATACTAAGATGAACATGTTACATAATAAGATGAACATGTTATATAATAACGTTACATACATAATAAGATGAACATTTTACGTATACTAAGCTGAACATGTTGCAATATGAGATGAATATGTTTCGTAATTCGTTGAACATGTTAAAAATTAAAATGAACTTGTTACACGATAAGATGAATATGTTGTATAATGAGATGAATATGATGCATAATATATTCAACAGGCAGGTTCGAAATTAAGATGAACTTGTCACATTACATAATAACATAAATAAGATGAATATTTTATATAATAAGATGAAATTAATGGATTGATGGAAGGTTGTTCATGTTAATTATTTTTGTTTGCATTGTTGAAATGTTATACAAAATTAGAAGTGAACATTTTGAAATGATATAGGTTAGTACATAATAGTGCTGTCAATCTGTCACGACGGGCTAAAAAAAACTGATAACTGAAAAAAGCTTAACCTTATGAAACAAGGGCATAGTTGTTGTTGCACAAGGTTAATAAAGAGTGGAAAAACATGAGATGAATGGGTGTACATAGAACAAATAATCTGTCACACTTTGGTATCTTCTTTATTCACACTGTCTTAAAAACGTGTGAATGTCTTCAGTGACCTTGTCCTGACTGCCATTTGGAATGCAGAAGTCACTGTCGTTTCCAACTTCAGATTGTGATGGTTTGCTACTCATTGTTTTTAGGTGACATTTGGTTGACTTATGCCCGGGGTCCGTGCAAGTAAAAAATATTACATAAAATCAGTTCTAAAAAATTTAAGCTACTAAAAAATTGTTAATATTCATATATTAACAATATTATGTTGTATAAAAAGTTAATTCATACGAATTATCTTTTTTTTTTAATACCGTAATCGATATCATGTGCAACACATACAAAAAACGTAATAACCACACGAAGCATACAATTATATAAAAAATGTCTCATAATTTCCTCACAATTCACGGTAATTATAAGCTGCAAATGACTGTTCAACGTCGACATGATGGGTCATAATAGTACGTTTAGGGAGGCAAGGCTGCTGTGTTACGACGTACCCAGTCAAGTTCGATATGAATTATCAAAAGACCAAGGGACACGTATCTAGATACATATTCTCGTAATTGCTCACTCGTCTTAATCGGAATGTCATAAGATAAAGTGAATTCATCAGGTTGACAACCATAGTAAAGTAGCTCATACTCTTCGAGCGATGGTTCACACTCATAAAA